CACTTTAACATTCAGATTATTAGATTCACAATTGTAACTTAAAATAAAAGACAGGTAAACCAATTGTTTTAAGATCCATTAAAATATTATAGCATATATACGTTTTGTCGCTATTTTTGCCAAAAGAGGTTGAAATAATCTTGTCGTATTGTCTTTCGCCTAGATCTGGGAGAGGTAATCAATGGAATAGCTGACTTCCCAAGTTTTCTTGTGTTCTGTTTTTTTTTTACGTAGATATAGCGGCCGCATAATACATCGTGAAGTATGAGCAAAAATGAAACTTTGCAATTCAATTAAAAAAGAACCATGTCCGACCGCCAAATAGTTTCTGCATGTAAATTCTTTTTTTTGGTTCGTTTTTTTTTAGTATATGCCCGTATATCGAACATTTACCATTTTTTGTAAAGAATTTTTTGTGAAGAGTTTTTGTTTGTTTGATTAACCCTCGAAAATAACATTTGACCGATTTTCGACTTTTCCTTAATTTTTTATTAAGTCAACATTTCATAAGAAATACCGCACAAAAATCATTGGATTTTAAAGCTTAATATTTCCCAGACGGTTAGCTAAGACCACAAAGTGCTTAGGTCCAACCAGATGTAAGAGTAGTTATGTGAAAAAAAAGAACCGCTACCTCTGAAGAAAAGCTTTAAAAAAATACCAGACTTCAAACATTCTTCAAACAGAAAGTTCTGATATAGAAAAAGGATCATAATTCGGAAAAAAACGTAAAGCCCCAAATCTATCCAAAACGAGAAGGAACGTGTGAGTCGCTTCTGGGGACGCGACTCTACTTATACCCGTACTCAGTCAGTATATACATTTTTGAGCCTAAGATTTTTTAGAATTTTAAAATTAAAAAAAAATATACATTTTACATATTTTTGCTACATCTGTTATCTACATCTAAAATGTATATTTTACATCTAACATGTAGATTATAGATGTACCATTCATATTCTACATCTCCTCCGCTAGGGGTTGTTCGCGCACTGAACGCGGCAGAGTGTGCGAGCGAGAAATTTTGAAATACACTTGTAGCAGTGGGATACCACATGAGTCTGGAAACCAAATTTGGTTGCCCTAGCTCTTATAGTCTCTGAGATCTAGGAGCTTATCGAGACAGACAGACAGACAGACGGACAGACAGACATAGCTATATCGACTCGGCTATTGATGCTGATCAAGAATATATATACTTTATGGGGTCGGAAACGTTTCCTTCTCTGCGTTACACACATCCACTTTTACCACAAATCTAATATACCCCTTAACTCTTTTTTGAGTACGGGTATAAAAAGGCAGTTTGGTTCCTTGAGGAAAAAAAGTTCTATTTTGTCGAATAGTGTTATTGAAGGCAATTATTTTTTTGTTTCTAAATATACAATGTACATACATACATATGTACATATGTATATATAAATGGACTTGCAACAAAACTGCAAAACTACGTTATTTTAACCAGTACTCAAAGAGTATTGTGGTATATTCGATTTGTGCAAGTGCATGTGTATGTAACAGCATGCCCTGCAGTACCATAAGTAGGCGATGACAATTGTCAACAACGCGTCATTTAGGCGTTGAGGTCGGTCAAACCGAACCCTTTTTTTCTTATTTTCTTTCGTTTCCCCGCGCGGCGTAACAGAATTCGGTTTTGCCGTCGGCGTCAACAACGTTATTACAATTGTGCGGTGAAAAGTGAGACGCAGGTTGTGTTATTTGGGCAAAATATATAATTTATTATTATCAGGTAACTGCAGTGTTTTATTAAAATAATAATAAAAATACATGTATTTCGCATTGTAAAAAATGAAAATGAAATGAATAAGTGTGAACAAAAACAGGAAAAACCCTAAATGCGGGACACGAGTCGAGCAGATACTGTGGATCTATCATAGCTGAGATACAGAGAGCATTGTTGAAACAACAGTTTAACAAATGAAACAGATGTACGAATTTCCAACACGCAATATATATACATATATATAAATATGCACATATATCATTTTTTTTGGTATTATTAGATCACCAATATACGGAACATTGGTATAATAAAATGCGATTACCAAAACGATGGCATACTTTACTAAAATATTTCCATTTCCAAAACTAAGAAAGATTTTTTTCAAGATAAATATCTTAAATAATTTTGATATAAAACACTATCGATGGCAAAAAGTTACGAAAACCGGAACGCACAAATCGTCATCGCAAAAATTTACGAAAACAGGAGCATAGCGGATATAATTGAATAGCCCATATTATTTCAGAGGCGATTCTGTTGAAGTGCCGATTCTTTTAAATTAAATATTTTTATACGCAATTTTGTCCTAAAAATTTCCATAATTTTTCTTGAAATATATCACTTATACATACATGGATTACTTTTCAGTGTAATTCATGGCTTATAAATGTATGCATTTTTCGTAATATTCATCACTTATAAATCGATGAGTGCTCTATGCTCCATGTTACATCTCCACCCAAAATTTTTTAGATACGAGATAATATAAAGTGTAGAATCATGTCTACCGGATTGCGGATTGTGGATGATTATAGCCAGAATGAAGAAAAACCATTAATCTCTAACTCACACTCTTAATCGTCAGGTGTGCGCCTCCAGCGGAATTACCGAGATAAAACGGTTTCCCGTCTCTCATGAAAATTGCATGAAAAATTAAGAGATATCGCGGTCTGTTTTGTGAACATATCCGCATTAGCCAACAAATCAATCTTTCCATTTGGCGAATAGTGATATCAAAAAAAAAATAATATATATATACATGGAGAGTGAGCATGTGGCACTTATCGGCTCCGATACCAGTTCCGGACGTAGACTTTTGTCAGTCACTGTACAAATTTGAATAAATGCTTCGGCTGGCTTGTCCAGCACCAAAGATTCTTTTTTTATTCAAATGTATACATTTTATAATTACGTTTCAGCTAATTGTTGAAATTCCTTGGTTAAGCCAATGCATTTACAGTCATTGCACAGAGGATAGTAATCTAAATGTCGTGGTTTTATTAATTTAATGATCGTACGCAGTTTAAGGTTTCACTAATGTAGAATAATAATGCACTAATATTTTGAAAAAAGCTTTGCCATTGTCGTAGGATATTTGGTTGCGACGCACAATGGGCCCTTCGGCCATTTCAGCTTGATAAAATAATAACTTCTGAACAAATAAAAATATCGTCATAAAACAAAATGAATTTGAAAGAAAACTTTTTCAAAACTTAGTTTTCAAGAGTACATGGTGCTACAATGTCTAGAAGCTTTACAATATGAGTTTAAAACTATACATGCGGAAGTATGTGCATATGTTTATACGGATACATGATCTTAAAAGCTTTTATGAGAAACCATCAGTATATGCTCATATAGATAGTCAAAGTTGACATTCGTTACTGGTGTATATTTTCCTATGTAAAATGATCAATATTTTTGTTGTCGATAAAACAATTGAGTTAATTGGATTTTACAAAGATAGAAATAAAATTTGTATTTGTTCTTATATATTTCTTTTGTTTTTGGTCTTCCTAGCATGTGCATAAAAGTTGAGTAAGTCCTGCTCACTGAAAAAATGGTGAACTTTGAATGCGCATGAAATCCTTGGAAAATTTTCTATCAGATGCGTATATTCAAACTATCCAAATGGCTTAATCTAAAAATGGAGGGACCGTTATCATTAAAAGCTATAATTTAAAAATCACACAATAATCCTTTTTTTTTAGTTTTTGAGATAATTATTACTGATAATAATTATTTTTATTAATTATTATGAATGATTATCCATAATAATTATGTTTGAGAAAAAACAATAAAACTAAAAAATAATGATTAAACTTTAAGTTTTATTTTTTCGATCAAATATAAAACTCAAAATTAAATAATTGAAATATCATGGAAGCTGAAATAAAAATAATTATTATCAATAATGATTATTCATAATTTGCATAGTTTATCCTTAGAGCAGTCTTTTTCTCTATATAATTCTTCTGTGCGGCTACTTTAAGTGAATGATTTTTTCGAGAAAAAAATAATCATTATTTACGGTCTCTGCAAAAATCTCTTGCCACCTCTTTTTTGCTACGAGTATATGTATGATAATTTAATTTATCTGTCGGATATTTATTTAGTTTTATAAGATACGTATAACTTTTAAAGTATTCGATTGTATAGTATGTTTAGAATATCGTTCAAAACTCTTAACATGTGAACAATAAATAAATTCCGTGTGCCTTTGTCGGTGTTGTCACAGTCGATTCTATATCGTTTACGTTTTGCACATATCCACACAAAGAAAATTTAGTTGAAATACAATAATATTCAGATGTGATAAACATTGCACATCTGTACTCATATGTATGTATGTATGTATATGAGCATATACTGATGGTTTCTCTTAAAAGCTTTTAAGTACATGTATAAACATATGAACGTATTTTTGCATGTATAGATTTAAACTCAATATTTTAAAATGAGGTCTGGTCTGCTGAAACCTAGACAACTTCATGGTGCTTAATTTTTTAATAAAAATATTTCAATGCTCTAAGATAAAAAATTATTTTAAAAATGATTATCTTTATCACTCATTATGCCTGAATTCGATTTTATTTTCAAAATATAAATTTTCTTAAATTGTTTGTTAGTTAGGTCACACAGTCGCCAAATTGTTTTCAATATACTGGGGATTTCCGACACTGACGTATTGCTAATGCAGTTTTTTTACTGGTTGCCATCATTTTTTGTCAATTTTTTTTTATTCACATGTATATCAGATGCACTCTTGTTACACCTTCTTTGAATGCGTCTTAACATCCGTAAAAAACATATTTTTATTATAAGAAAAATAGTCCAAGTGATCGTGAATATTTTTTTTAATTTGACATTTATGAAATAATTTGAGGCATTATTACTTCTTTTTCTTTAAATCTTATTTGAGCAGTACATCCATGCAGAATATAATTATACTAAATTTTAAAAAAGTTTTTCATACGTTTCTGTCTGCCGTCAAGTAAATATAAATTATAGAAGAATGACGGCAATTTGCGGTATATTCACAAGTATTGATATGGTCCCGTGCAGTTATTTACTGAATTTTGCTCGACCGTCGCGCTACAAGCTCTGCTTGGGACTGAAATCATAAAGAAATTTCGGTGATAGCGTGGCGTGAAAGAAGCCTGAATAAGGACCGTCGTGCTCGTCCCTTCGTAAGCACGACGCTCAGTAGCGACATTACGATTGCCGGGGAGTTTTAGTGCTGCGCACCCATTGGTGCCGTATATGGAAAGGGGTTGGAGAGAGAGCACCATGTCGCTTTACAAGGAAATAATAGATACCACCACGTGTTTGTGGAACTTATGTTAAATTGCTTTGCCTATGTAGATTATTCGAACAGGCCTGCTAAGAGCTGCTAAATGATATATGCATTTTTTTTTTTTAAATAAGGTCTGAAATATACATAGATCTTTTGGAAACACTTGACTATAATTTTTTCTCTATAAATTTTTACAAGGAGAATGTTCCGTTGTGCTCTCCAAATAATGTGTATTAATAGTTTAAATCAATTCGTTCATTTTTATACCCAAAACTCAATGAGTATACACTGACGAGCAAAACTGTAACACGATGTCAGTAGTCTCACTTCAACGGTATGTAACTTCTGTTCTCTTTTATGCATGCTAAAGATCTTAATCTTGTTTTGTTGGTGATTAAGTCTACTATGTTTTTGGAAAATTTCTTGCCATTTGATAGGCCGGGAGAAATATGCCAAGCCAAAATGTAATAAAAGTCAAATGTTACAGTTTTGCACTGCAGCTATATTTTAAATGAATATTTTTATTGAAATTTTGTTGGTAATGTGTCCACATCCCTTTTGATTTTTCCAGTTCCTTAATGCGATTTGGCATACTTTGGGTGTATCGTTGCACAAATTCAGGGGGTATAGAGTACCAAACGTCCTTGGTCCTCTCCCATAGGTCCCTCATTCCAGTTGGAGGGATCGCATATTTCGCCAGCTGCGATTTGACATGGCTCCATAAATTTTCAATTGGGTTCATGTCTGGAGATTGTTGTGGCCACTTCATACATTGAAATTTTTGCTTCAATATCCAATTTTTTACCAAAATAGACGTGTGCTTTGGGTCATTGTCTTGCTGAAAAATACATTTTTTTACATACAGCAAGACCCATGTTCCCGATCGCATAAAAGGGCTGTGAACACATTATTAAAATTATTAATAAAAATATTTGTTTAAAATATAGCCGCAGTGCAAAACTGTAACATTTGACTTTTTTTACATTTTGGTTTGGCAAATTTCTTCCGGCGTATCAAATGGCTTCAAATTTTCAAAAAAATTAGTTAAATGACTCACCAACAAAACAAGACTTCTTTAGGATGCATAAACAGAAGACAAGCTACAGGCTGTTGAAGTGGGAGTACAGAATTAGTGTTACAGTTTTGCTCGTCAGTGTAGGTATATATTTTTATACCCGTACTCAAAAAAGAGTTAAGGGGTATATTAGATTTGTGGTAAAAGTGGATGTGTGCAACGCAGAGAAGGAAACGTTTCCGACCCCATAAAGTATATATATTCTTGATCAGCATCAATAGCCGAGTCTATATAGCCATGTCCGTCTGTCCGTCCGTCTGTCCGTCTGTAAAATGTAAAATGTAAAATTTTTTTTTATTCTAAAATTCTAAAAAATCAAGCTCAAAAATCAAGTACGGGTATAAGTAGAGTCGCGTCCCCAGAAGCGACTCACACGTTCCTTCTCGTTTATTTTGTAGCTGTGAATGGCTGTAATTTATATGATCAACATCATTAGCCGAGTCGCAATAGTCACTCCCCCTATTGCCACTTTAAAGGGCGAAAATCTGTGGTATCCACAATTTGAAAGATACGAGAAAACCAAATCCGTAGAATCATAGAAAATTGGGATTGCTAAATCCAGACGAACTCGTTATTATAGCCAGAATGAGCAAATAAATTTACAACCCCCTTTAACGGGCTTTCTCTCTCTCACACACAGTCCTCTTGGCGGAAAAATGGAATCACATAAAATATTTGAAATAAACTAATCAAATGGGACATTATTTGAAAGTGGAAGAACTAAAATTAGAGCCGTGGTTCCTTTCTTGCTCTCTTTGTTTATCCCAGACAAAGGCAGGAAAAATGTTAATTGGCCGAAGCTTACGTATTATTAAGTATAAAATATAGGTATAGGTAACATACATAAATCATACGATTATATATATACTGACGGTGTATAAAAGTAGAGCTAAAAGTAGAGCTCTTGCCGCGGCTCACAACATTTCCGCTCGTTAGTAATACGATAGTAATAGAGAAAAAGTTTATATAACATTATTTTCCGACTCTGAAAAATATTCAACATTGAAGATAGAAAAAACAAGAAACACTCAATAGTTTATCGAGTTTGATTTTTTAAATACCACATACTTTTAAATACTTTTTTTTATATAGAACTGTATACCCCCGAAATCTTGTAATAATAAACCTCTGTGTAATCTAGAAGGAACTGTCGAAGATAAACAGGTTCTACTGTACATTTGCTAACGCTGTAATCATCAACATCTACCAAAAGCTGCTTCCATGTGGACCAATACTAAACTCCATTGGCTAACACAATAGACGTCCACACACGTCAGTTATAAATCGTCGAAAACTAAGGGAGCTTGGTTGGACTGTTGTAATTCATAAACCGTATAACAACGACCAGAAACCGTTTATTCAATATATTGAAAGTCAATAATAAACAGATGGCATTTAAATTCACAAGTTACTGGATTATATTAGTAGAGAACACCAGCGTCTCAGAATAGACGGCAAAGCTGAAAAAATAACCGGAAGAATACTAAACTGTTTTGGGCGTTAATTGTTAGAAAATAACTACACTTGCTTGCACCTTTTACTTTTTGGGATAAACCACAAGAATGTACATAACATGGTCAGAATCGGACAGTGGCTTATTAAATAAAACAAATTACCTTGCACTCATTTTGCGCAAAATTTTATTGTGGTAAATGTTTGCTGCAGCCATATGCATGTAAATACGCATTAAATTAGCTAGACAGGCATTCTGAATTTACAGTTTACAAAATACATATTTAAATATCCTTATAAGTGCAAAACTGGGGTGTATTTAGTCAGTGCTGTCTATAAAATTATCAAATGTAGTTTAATCAATGGAAATTGCCATTTAATAGTTTTTAGGATTTTCCATTATGTATTTTCAAAAAAAAAAAATTTTTTAATTTTACAAATTCTAATATTCACTAACTACACTAGTCAAAACGAGAATTAGGCTGTGGCCCAAAATGACTTTTTCTTATAGATTTCGGGGTTTAAAATTGTTTAACGAATTATGTTTTTTTTTAGTGGTGTAGTTTTTTTTAAAGAATTTTTTAAAATCTGGTATTTTTTAATATTTTTTTTCAGAGGTAGTGCTTATATTTTTCACATAACTTAAGTGTGTTATATCTCATTGCATAGTTCTGCAGTTTGCAGTTCTAAAAAGCTGACAAATGCAGCTACAAATCCGACCCAGGCCCTTTGTATCTGCAGCTTAACGCCTGAAATTTATTAAGCTTTCAAATTCAAATTTCATCATTTTTAGCGGTATTTATTTTTTTTTTTAGAAATTTTGTCTTTAAAAACTCGGGAAAAGTTGAAAAAAAAAATTCTTGGCTAACATTTTTTGTTTTAGATAGACGCATTAATTAGGCGTCGTTTAAGGTTCGTTTCGTTTATTGTTCATTAAAATCTATGGATAAACGGTGGAGCTAAAATTAACCAAACCTCAATAGTGAAAAATGGACAAAAAATACTTTTTGGAAGGTTGCGGGCCCAACTGCCAAACGAAAAGGTGTTAAATTTTTGGTACCTGACCGTGTTTCTTTGGCATTGGACCAGCAACGGTATTTTTCAGGTAAAATTAGTTTTGAGTCGTTTTGGTCAAACGGCTGCAAGTTGACCGTTTATCGATAGAATTTTATGAGCAATACCTTTAACGACGCCTAATTAAGCTTTTCAGAACTGCAAAGTACTATGCAACCAGATATAAGATACTTAAGTTATGTGAAAAATAGAAGCACTATATTTGAAAAAAACCATGAAAAAAGACTATCAGATTTAAAAAATTCTTTAAAAAAAAAATGACACCATAAAAAAAATAAAGTATTACATAAATTTGTAATTCCCGAAATCCATCAGAAAAAGTCATTTTGGTTCACAGCCTAAATAAAAAGTTCAATTTTGTCGCGTAGTGCTATCGAACCTAAGTCTTTCAAGATATAAGACAAGATATGAACTGGATGTTACGTTACTAAAAATATAAGTAGTTTTTAAGCTTAGGTTACGAAATTGCAAGGCTATCAACCATTTTGTATGAACAAAGGTAGATACATATGTATACTTGAAATATTGAGTGATAATTATAATTATCCAAGTCATTAAATGTAAAAACCATTCCTTTCCTATTGTTTTGTATTAAATCCGCGGAGTCCCTGTTGTGGACCGGGGACTAGTTGACTAATTTTAGTCATTGTAGTTTGTGAATTATTTTCGTTTTTAACCGTTTTTAATATATATTTATATATGCGCAACATATTTTTTTGGTCTTTTGGTAAAATTGTCTGCTAGCCCCGGCTATGACACACGCCATGATACCAGTTGTGGACACCCTGTTTTTTTTTTGTGCGTGTATCTGGTTGGGAAATTCCATTATATCGTTGTTTATGGTAGTACAAAATAATAACATTTAAACCACTGTGGATCTTCAACTAGCTGCCTATCACTTTTGGAAAAGATTGGTCCTCTGCAAAGTGCTACAACACAGAAGCCTTCGAATCGTGATAGAAAGACGATGGAAAGCTCCATGCTTACTTTAAATTACTTATGTGCATTATTTCTTTGAAGGAAAAGGCAGCTTAGATCGATTCGAATCTGAAAAAATATGCAGGCATCTGATTCTGCCCAGAAAAAGCGTGGCCGAAAGGTATAATTAGCCAAACCAGCATTTAAGCGAAGGCTCTTTCGGACGATGATC